TTTTTTTTTTTTTTTTTTTTTTTTTTTTTTTTTTTATTACCAGAGGATGTGTATGCTTGTTAGAGAGAGAAAGCACCCTGCACAAAGGGCACGGTCATGTCAACATAATTTTTTCTCCATTTCTCCTTCCTGTTAGGATCTTGGACATACATCCTGTGCACTCAGTGTGTTTTTCAAACCACTGAAGCTGAAGTTCGAACTACAGTTGGCCACATGGGATCTGGCTTCCTGTACGCAGAGATTAACTACTGTGATACAAGGTGGGCCCACATGGGATCTGGCTTCCTGTATGCAGAGATTAACTACTGATACAAGGTGGGCCCAGTAGTCTGAGTTTTAATTGTCCTATCTTAATCCAAGTCATTTCTCTGTTTTACTTTTTACTGATTGGAACTGAGATGCAGTTCTGCTTTCAATTCAATAAGTTCCTGGTTTGTAGACTTGCCTTGTTTTCTCTAAAATCTGTTTCTGTGAGCTCACTTCTTTCCCTTCTGATACTTGCTAAATGCAGTCAATAAAAATCACTGCATACCATTAGCGTTCTATTTTCACATCACTTCCATGATTCTATGAACTGCCTTTTAAGCAAAGATGGAAATTTTATAAAATGTTTGACCCTGCAAACATGGACCATCCTCCAGGTCCCTGTGGGTCACCAGTACTATTTGCTTGAGCTCTGTTGTCCTAGGCTCTCTCATGGGCATTCCATTTGCTCCTCAGGGTCTATACTTAAACTTCTCTTTACTACTTTAATGCCCTGGGGTTGGCATGGGGTGTTTGTCATTTCATTATTATTGGCATCAGTGGAATCCTTTGTCACCCAGCTTCTAAGAGAGTTCATTGATAGAAGTCACCAGAATTGATAGAAGTCACCAGAAGAAGATTGGATGGTAAAAGAATAGTAGGGTCAGGTACTTCTGGATTCTTCCCTTCAGGTTGCTGTAGGGTTGGCTGGATTCCCCTAATGTGGCTACAGCTCTGAGTAAGCCTTCTCCACAGAACTACTGTCCAAATTCTAGTCATGAACTGTCTTCCTTTTTGACCTTTAGGTTGAGTGATCACAGGACCTCCCCAGTGTTATGACTCTAGGATATGACATGTGGTCAGTTTTTCTGAGCTGGGATGAAGACAACTTTGTAAACACTTCCTTCATCTAAAATCTTCTTAACCACATTCCCTGAAGAGTTTCCTTATAGGACTCCAACTGAGTAAGTTATGTTTCAGTAGTATACAATCCTCACATCTTTGTGACTTAGCATAATAGACGTTTATTTCTTTTCTAGGTCACCTATCTCACCCGCGTGAATAGAAAGCTTTGTTCACTTCAATCACTCAGCACCCAGTCAGTCAAACTTTGGCTTAGCTCCTGTCTCTACCATAAGTCAAACTATAGGAACAGTATAAGGCTACTCTTGTATTGACCTTTCTGAGGGGACTTCAGGAAGTTCATGGAAAATGGAATTACCATACGAGTTTATTTTGGTGTAAAATCCATGCATGGTGTTTTTTTGTAATGCACATCTTTCATGAGCCTTTTGAAGACTCACTGTATTTCTGACTAGATGTGACACATGCCACTTTGTTTATATTTTTAACTTCAAAGTATCAAAAATACCACCCTAACATGCAATCAAATAAGGGAATACTAGAATAATTTAGTGATTACTTTGAAAATGGTTCAAAGTAGATTTTAATTTTAAGTAATTATAATCCTTATGTTGGTTTTGCAACCGTTAGTTGAATTTTCTGACCAACACTGTATAGTTAACCTTATGTGGGAAGACAGAAACCATATTGATCTAGGTTTTGGTGATAGGGTGCTTCTTATGGCTATATTTTGAATCAGATCAAACTCACTTGGGAGTCAAAGAAAAAGAGTAGTATAGGTTGCAACTCAAATTAACAGAAACTCTGACTTCAAATAGCTGAAGCAAGTGAGGTTATTTATCTCATATGATAAGTGCGGAGATAGGCAATGATTGGCATTGGTTTATCTATCCAACCTTTTATATATCCTGTCCTGTCATTTTTTAGTATCTTTATTTGGGTCTATGCAGTTAGCAATTTGATAGGTCTGTTGTAACAGTACCACAGACTGGGTGGCTTAAACAACAGAAATTTATTTCCTCACAATTCTGGAGATGGAGAAGTCCATGATCTACTTGTCAGCAGAGTTGGATTCACCTTGAAGACTCTCTTCTTGGCTTGCAGATGGCTGCTGCTTCTTATGTCTGTATATAGTCTTCCTTCTGTGCATGGGTGTATGTCCTATCTCTTTTAAGGACCCAAGCCATATTAGAATAGGGCCCAACACCCTTATTTTAACTTAAGTAAGCCTGTTTTGTATTCAAATATGGTCACTCTCTGAGGGGTGAAGACTTCAGCATATGAATCTGGGCATACAATTCAATCTGTAACACTGTGGTTATTCTTCATGGTCTTTTGATGACTGCCACAGCCATACAGCCATATCTATTATAAAAACAGAGGGAAAAAAGTAGAATTTGTAATATTTACCCCTTTTTAAAATAAAAGTAAAAGCTTTCCTTACCACTGTCCCTCCCTCATGTAGCTGATCCATTCAGAGGTCACTGGTCAGTACTATGTCTCTGGTTACTCCTAGCTGCAAGAGAGGCTGGACAAGTGCCAGGATTTTTCAATATCTGTAGTAAAGCAAACAAAGAAGAGAGTGATTAGAAATGGGTTTGGGTTTATTCAAGTCTATTGCAGGAAGTCTCTAGGGAACATAAAAAAATATATATCTGACATATATTTAAATATATATTATATGATTTATATGATATATATCTTTATATGATACATAATTCATATGAAATTTATTTTTATATATGTTTATTTTATATATTTATGTAATATATATATATACACACACACGTATATTTATTGGCCCACTCCTAATGACAGACACTATGTCAAGCACTCAAGATACTGAATGAATAAAGCACAGACCCTACCTTCGCCAAATGCACAGAAGGCTGCAGAAGGCAGACAATGAAATAGGCAACTACAGCGCTGCATGACGACTGTCGAGAAGGGGGCCGCAGAATGTAGTATAGAAGCTCAGAAGGCAGGCTGCAGCCTCGTCCTGGAAAATCATTAAGGCTCCACAAAGAATGTAGCATCCATTAATGAAAATCTTTCAGATGCAAAAACTTTCATATGTACTTTGCAGAGATCGTTTAACAATAGTAAACTGATGTGCCAGACATCACCAAGCATAGGGCTTGGCGCACAAGTGAGATGTGCATGTTCACTTATTCGTAACTGTTTCCGTTTGTTTGTTTGCTCTGTCGTGTAGCAAATCCTTTTGTATGGCTTAACATACATTAGACACTACCTGAAGGGTTTCCTTTTACTTGTTTGTTCCTCACAATAATTAAAGGAGGTCGATACTATTATTGTTTTTATTCTACAGATAAAACAGCCATTGAAAAATTAAGTGATTTGCTCAAGGTCATGCAGCCAATAGAAGGCAAAATTGAAATTTGAGTCTAGCCGGTTCAGCCCCAGAGTCCATCCTCCTCACTGCCATGTCTTCAGGACTGTGCTCATTATACTCTGTCTCGGGTATTTATTTCAAGTGTTGCTATGACTGCATTCAGACTAAAACTAGAATCTTTTCTGATGTTTGAGTTTCTGTCTCTGGCAATTGCCTGCTATTGCACTGCTTCAAAATATATAAATATTTCCAAGTAAGAACACAGATCACTCTGTTGTTTTCTACTGAAATGGCAAAAGTAAGGGAAGTTCAGTAAGTTGTGTTAGTACATAAAATGCCTCAGTTATCCTAAGGCTGGTCATTTTCTCCACTCATGCTTTCTCTTCCTCAGGGCTATGCTATAAACTAAATATTCGTCTCACTCTTAGACAACCTGGATACCAGACTTTAGGAACTGTGGTTTTGTCCTTTCTGGGCAATGAAATGTAGAAGCTTTTATGTATCAACTACTTTTTTTTTTTTTTAATTTGTCATCGGGTGCTCTGAAGACAGAGAGAATGAGAGTGAGAGAAAGAAACTCTTTCTTGTTTGCATTTTTGTTTGTATTTATTGTTTTACTTTAATGTTTTATCAAAACTTGGCATGATTTCTTTTTTCAGTCTTTTTAAAAATTATTTTTTATTTTTATGGTTTGCTATAAGGCACATACACTCTCTGGAGGCAGACAGATAGGGATTGGGGGTGGGTAGGTGGGAAGGGGAAGGTTGGGAGTGAGAAATCACCCACCCAGGGGACGGCCACACTGCAATTCCTTCTCCTCCATTCTCCTCTTGGGATTTTGGGCATGCACGCACGCACACACACACACTGTATGTTTTCCAGGCCTCTGGCCCTGAACTACAACTGTGCAATCAGCTATGTGGAGTCCAGCCACCTTAGCCTCCACACCCCCTGCTGGCCCAGCAAGGTTTCTACTTAGTTCTTTGTTATAATTGAAGGAAATACATTCACAACTGTAATATGGCTTTTAATCGTAGTTTCCAATGACGTACATTTCAGAGTTAATAAAGCCTCTGTTTTACTTTACTTTGTTCTGGTTGGAAGAAGAGCCAGCCAACGTGGCATGTGCAAAAATGGGATTTGAAAAACGCAGTGGAGGAAAAAAGAAAAGAGAATTTGTGCTTGGCTTTCATGTCTAGCTTCAACTACTAAATACCTGCATAGCACTGACAATTACTCAGAATCAAATTTTGTGCTTTGCAAAGTCAGCATATCCCACAAACCTGAAAGTCCTGGCTATTTTTATGCAAATGTATATCGTATATAAAGAACTTGGAGTCAAATGACTGAATTATTCTTAGCAGCCAAAAGTAGCGTTAGCAAGTTTTTAACTTCAGCTTTCAGAGCTTGCCACCACCTAGTCCTCATTTGTTCACAAGTTCTCTCATCTAGGCATTTTGCAAAACTATTTTATTTTTTATTTCCAATTGTATAGCAAGTTTTCATGGTTCTCTTGGAATTTATACAAATCACAGTTTTCTGGAATGAATGAAATACACAGAAGACAAGGATTTTCAATGCCCCTGACAATTCCTAAGGATGTGCTCTTTTATTTTGTTTGTTGTGATGCTATTCCTTCCATTTTACCTCGACCCAGCAGCAGGTACGAATTATGTTGCCTGTGATACAGTGTGATTTCTATTAAAATTGCAATTGATTCTGTATAATAACTGCAATTTGAAATAAACCTTCCTCGTGTTCTCTTGGCAATGCCTATTTATATTTTGGAGTCTATGTGGACTTAGTACCTGGATCCTATTGAGTTTTTATTACATTTTGATTTTCCCAGTACTATGGTGGTATACATTAACTAACCTCTGATATGTTTCAGACTTGCCATTAGAATCTGACAAAAACTTCATTGTGGGGGACAGTAGATGGTCCCTGGACTCACACATGGCTGACCCTGATTCGAGTCATGGACCTGGTTTAAAACTCAAGCTAGGTATGTGTATGCACGTGTCCAAGATCCTTGGAGGTGAATGAGGAGAAGAGATTGCAGGATGGCCACTCTCCCAGGAAGATGATTTCTCACTGTCTCTGCCTCTCTTCATTGTGTGTATGATATCCAGCAGCGAAACCGTAGGGGTCCCATGGCCACTCCCAGCTGGAGCTGGCTGGGACAGAGGTGGTGCAGTGGTGAAGGTGTTAGACTCCCACATGACAGACCATGGTTTCTAGTCCCAAACCTGGTGGCTTGCTTTCTCGCTTTCTCTCTCTCTCTCTCTGTCTCTGTCTGGTGAGTGCACATGCCCTACAGCAAATTAAATAATAATAAAAATATAAAATTAAATAAATAATTCTTTAAAAAATAAAAATTAAAAAAAATATGGAATTGGCTGTCCCTGGCAGGTAGATGGCTGTGAGAGTCAAATGAAATAAGCTAAGACTTGGCCTTTCAAAATGGAGAGGAAAAATCCTAGAAAGAAGTAATAATCTAGAGATAGCAAATTCTTTTTTTTTTGCAAGAGAGATATTTTTACTATAGGGCACATAAGCTTGCTGAAGAGACAAAGAGAAATAGAGAGACAGAAAGTGAGAAATCGCCCTGCCAGTGGGGATGGCCACACCATCTTTTCTGCTTCATTCTCCTCTCAGGATTATGGGCACCCTTGAAAAGGCACCTGGCACGAGTTTCAAACCTCCAGTTTAGAACTCAAACCACTGTTGACCATGTGGGAAATCAGTACCTTAACCACTACACCACCTGCTGGCCCCCCAAATTATTATTTTTTTAAAGTACTTTTTTCAATAGCAGGGACTTTGCCAAAAGATTTTGGGGAGAAAATTTTTATATGAAAATCAGCATAAGTGCATAATGACATGGAACTCAAAACCTGTGTGAATGTTTAAGATCTAATACTCGAAAGTAATAGTGATTCTGAGCCAGCTAAATGTTGTGATGGTTAAGGTGGCTGGATCCCACAAGGCCAACTGTGTGGTTTGAGATCCCACCGGGTGTGTGTGTGTGTGTGTGTGTGTGTGTGTGCCCTAAATCCCAAGAGGAGTATAGAGGAGAAGGGATGTGGCATGGCCATCCTTGCTAGGGGATGCTTTCTCACTTTTCCTCTCTCTTTAACTCTATGTATATCTTTCTGGCTAAGGCATGTGCCCTGTAACGGAACTTAAAAAAAAAAAAAAAAAGTAATAGTGAAGAAAGACACTGCTTGGCACTGAAACGAACGCTCTTTTGTCCCTTGCTTCTTTCTCTCTCTACCCTACCCTCCTAACAAGTTGGTATGTTCATTTTCCTCTATTGCCAGTGAAATCTGATTGAGAAACTAATGTATAAATGAGCGTAAGTAATAGTAAAATGCTATTTACATATGATGTATTCATATCACTTTTGGTCTTTCTGAAATTGTGTACCTTACATATTCCTCCATATTTCTGTAGTTCACCAGCTAATGCAAGGTACCATCTTCTTTCTCGTAAATCACTGCAAGTAATTTGAAACTGACCTACAGTGTCCATTGTGGTTTCCGTCAGTCCTCAAGCCTAACAGTATTGCTAATTTGAAACCCTAATTCAATCATATTACCTTTCCACCGACACTCAGCTGTGGCTTTTGGTTCTCTTAGCATAAAGACAGAAGTCTTTAATGCGTCCTCTTAAGCCCTCCATGATCATCCTGTAACTCTTCCTGTTTCCACTGCTCTTATCTTCTCTCTATCCTTGGAAATATTCAAGCTTTGTCTTACCACATGCTGTCCTCTCACTGAAATGTTCCTTTTCTCTCTCTTCATATGATGACTCTCCCCTGATATCTTTTATGGAAAACCAAACTTTCTAGATAAATCTTCCAGTTAGGTGAAACCCCCTTTTTCAGGCCCCGTAACACTTCATACTTCCCCCTCGTGGCATGTTCTACAGTTGCAACTGAATACTATTTGTGTAAGTGTCCCATCAAGGTTTTCCTTAATCACTTCCCTCCTGAATCTTCATCAGTCTACTTGGCTCTCTTGTTACAGGTAATAAATCTTCCACATATATTTGATGAATTAATGTCTGTGTGAATACAATTACACTGTATACAAAAATGACATCATTGTCATTTTTCTCAATACTTTATAAAGACATGGAAGACAGAGTTATAATATTTTCCACTACTACTAATATTATTGTATTGCATGTCTTACTTACAGCAAATGTTACTCCTGACATATGTTGGATGCATAGTAAAATCTAAGTGAATTTTTATTAAAAAAGTATTGAATGATACAACCTATGGAAAATGAAAAGCAGCTGTGTATTCAATTTTAATGTGCTTATTGAAATGTTCTTTGATTGAGATAGATCCGTATCCATTCCACTTAGAGTACCTTACATTATCATCTAACCCTGTGACATTGCCACACAGTAGGAAGGAATGACTGTAGATAAAGGTAATAATGATAGATGGAAATGTAGGAAAACGATTGGCATTTAATGCCAGGTACATCATTGCCTTTTTTAGAGAGTTGGATATAGACATTTGAGAAGCTGGGTTGTCAAAGTGATCATTTAATTATGCATGTGTTAAACATCTATTGTAGAGAAGAAATAGTGGTAGGTACTGGAGGTTACACAAGATCAATAAGAGAGTACCTCTGTCCTCAAAAAGTTAGGATCCTGTAAGAGAGAATAAGTCAAAACAGACTGTCATACTAAATGCTGCAGCACACCAAAGTGCTGAATTGTGCCCCTCCCGCACCCCCCAAATTTCTTGGTTGAGATCATTACCCTTGATAGCTTAGAGTGTGACATACTTGGATAAAGGATCTTTCAAGTGATAAGTGAGGTAAGATGTGGTTACCATGGGTGGGTTCTAATCCCATATGACTGGTATCCTTGTAATGCAGAGTTTAGGACATAGATTTGCACAAAGGAAAGATAGTGTGAAGACAGTGAAGGAGAGCACCTCTATAATCCAAGGAAGTAGGCTCCCAGAGGAAACCAACCCTGAGAATAGCTTGGCCTTGGTCTTCCAGGCTCCTGAACTGTGAGGAAATACATTTCTGTTATGTAAGCGCCTCAGTCTGTGGGGCTTTCTTATGGCATTCCCAGCAGACTAACACACAATTATTATCAAGATGTTTTGGGAAAACAAAAAAAGAAACAAAGCAAAAAACAGTTTTACTAGAGCTTTACAGTGGAGGAAGCATCTCTGTTTATTTGCTGAAATCTGTATAAGACTTTCACAGCAATATGACATTCTTTTCTGTGTCAAGGGGTCACTCAGTAAACCCCTCAAATTCAACTCTACTTTTGGTCCACACACCCTAATCCTGGCTACCTCAAAGTCTTCTTAGTTTCCTGGAGCCATAATAATAAACTACCTCCCAATTAGATGCTTAAAATAATGCAAATTTATTCTGTTCTAGTTCTGGAGGTCAGGAGTCTGAAATGACTTATGATGCTAATATTGAAGTGTTGGCAAGATTGGTTCCTTTGGAACTCTGAGGAGAATTTGCTTCTTTTCTCTTCAGTTTCTAGGGGCTGCCTGCAGTCCTTGACTCATGGTCACCTCCTCATGATACTCTGACAATTAGCTTCCTTTGGCACATCCGCTGTTGACCTGTGCTTTTCCTTCCTCTAGTAAGGATCTACAAGGACCTTGTAACCCAGGATAATCTTCCCACCTCAAGATTCTTAGCATAGTCTCCTCAGCAAAGTCCCTTTGCCATGTCACATAGTTACAGGTTCTTGAGATCATGATATAGAAATCATTGGGGGCCCTTATCTTCCATCCATATCCCACATTACTCATCTCCTATATTCCAGACCCAACTGTCCAGGTCCAGTCTTCTATTTTCCATATTCTCATTTTCATTAAACCTGCTTGTTACCACTAAGCAATACCTGTTACCAGATGTTTGTTTTCTTTCTGGCCTATGCCTGTCATTATTCTAAGTCCACTAGAATCTGGTCAAGTGAATAACTCACTCCTCTGATTTTTCAGTTTTCTTGCTTTTGTGTCATACCACTGCCCACTCCAATCCAAACTCCAAGCTGTCTGAATCCAGAGGTGCTTCCCCCTGTCTCGTCTGCTTACTGTTGTTCCTGCAGAGAAGATAACCATAAAACAATGGTCTCCTACCTGACACAGTCTGCAACCCATGGGAATCTTCCTTTTACTTCTTCCTTTTGAGTCTCACTACTTATTACAACAAAGTAAAACAAGATAAAAACAAGCTATCTTTGTTTGTAAAAAAAATATTTAATTTTGTTTATTATTATTATTATTTTAATTTTCTACAGAGCACACATGCTTACCAGAGATAGAAAGACACACACATACATACAGAGAGAGAGAGAGAGATGCCAATTCTGAACTCAAACTGTGGTCTGCCATGTGGGAGTCCAGCCTCTTAACCACCATGCCATCTGCTGGCCTCAACAAGACATCTTATTGCCCTTCACCTCAAACACTCTTCTTAACCCTCACCATTTCTCAGTAGATAATCTAACTTCCTATTTCCATGAAGTAATTGAGCTCATCAGTACAAAACAGCTCAGTTTCCCGCTCTCACACCCACAAAAGGTATCTGGCACCTTTTGTTTTTCAAAAAAATAATCAATGAACTGAACCAAACTGAACTTGGCATAGGGAGGTTACAGAAAAAGTTGTGAGTTAGTGACTAACCTCTATTCTTCTGAGGAAATTCTGGGAGCCATATAGACTTGATTATGTCCTAATACTGTTGTAAAATCTTTGTCTTTAGTTGTTTACAAAACAGGTTCTAAATTCCCAGCTTGGCAAAGGTAGGAGTTCCAAATCTTCCATATTTGTTTAACATTTTGCATCTCCATCTCGTACCTTTATTGTATGTCTCACTGTAATCTACATACATATCTGTACTAGCATACAGACTTGCCTAATGTTTCTCTCTTCCTGTGATATATCACTATT